ACGTGCGCCTTACAAGATGCCATTATTATTATTAATCATGCCAGTGTATTGGTAATGCTAAATATAGTGGCAAAATGTAAATCAAACCAGTAATGGGATGAATTTACGTTTTAAAACAATTAGACATGTTAGTTGGACAAAATCAAACTGACCTATGTTTTGTCAAATCAGAACTACGTTTTTGAAAACATAGAACTACGAAAATTAGATCTACGTTTTGATTAAGAAATTGAGTTTTGATAAATTAGACATGGAATTTTGCAATTACATTTTTATTCTAACATAGCCCTGCATAGACTTCTGTTGAGTATGGCACCCCATATCGCCATTGTCGTCACCACCGTTGTTATCCTCATAATTATCATCAATTTTGATAAATTAGATTAGATTATCAATTTTGATAAATTAGACATGGAAATTTGCAATTACATTTTTATTCTAACATAGCCCTGCATAGACTTCTGTTGAGTATGGCACCCCATATCGCCATTGTCGTCACCACCGTTGTTATCCTCATAATTATCATCAACTCCAACTGTGTTTACTGTTTTGTATATAATTATACTGAATTATACTCGGACTGAAGATACTATAGATAGAGTAGGCAAAAAAAGTGGTGAAATTATTTATACATTAAAAACAGGTTATATTTAAAAAAGACTGTGTAAAAAAAGATTTAATGTGTATCAAATAATCACTTTTTATCCCACTTCTAAATATTATGCTTAAGGAAAAAATGGAAATGAACCAACAGACATAAACCAAGCAGATTTTGTTTATTACAGTATTCACTTTCTACAGGACTACTATACATCTATCTTGCATACCCTTTTCAGATAGATGAAATGTTTCCAACCTCAATGACAATCTGCATTTCGACTATACATAAATTTGCTAATTATAAACATAATGGTTCCTAGAAAAATAACTTAATGCTGTCAGAAATTATAGCACACTTGTATAAAATTCAACAAACACTGATCTTGTTTTTCACTAAATGAAAACCTGTTTTAGCCCCATTAAAACAAAAATATATATTCACGATATCGTTTTCCCTGATTGACAAGAACAACAATCACAAGGAATAAATAGTACAATTTTAATTTATATATTTGATATTTTACAACCAGGTTCATTATCGGTTTACTTTTATTATTCTGTGACATTTAATCTATTTTATACATGATTTAGTATTGGTACACAAGGTACAATAGCCGGCCTACAAGCCAATATATGCAATGTAAAAAAAAATTACCTGTAAAGAACAGAAAATAAGGTTAAATTTAAAAGGCATCAAATGAGATTTTTATTAATTTTTTTGGCTCTAGCACACAAAAAATTTTACCAGAAGTACCTAAGGAAATGCTGAAATATACAAATTTCAATAAATTAAATAAATCTAACTGCTACATGTAAACCTAACAATGAACAGATTTAGGTTTTGCTTTTTTCGATATTTTCATACTTTTTTGTATCTACATCTAAATTATCTTTTTTTTAAGTGTAGAGTAGGCCTACCAACTATGTCTGATGAATGAGTAATAACTATATTTTTTTGGCATTTTAGAATGTAATTTTTTTGGCCTAAAGGTTTTAAACAACTTAGTGAACAGGATATATCTATTTCAGAATTCTTATTTTTATGTACAACAAAGCAATATTTGTGGCAAAGACAAGCTAAACCAGTCACTCGTCACAAATTGTGTTTCAGAGAAAATAGCAAAAACATGCTAGAATGTAAAATTTTTAAAAATCTATTTTATTTCAATAAACTAAGGTTTATGTATCTATACACCATGCTGTGCTGTTATTTTTCCCAATTACAATGTTAAAACAACACTTTTTAATGATTTTGTAATAGTTTCTGCATGAGAAATGCCTGAAATCATAAACTTTGAAGGCTGATTTCTCATATATTGTTCTTTAAACAGCTGTATGCTTAAATGCTTGTAACTTCATAAGGAAATGTCAGATTTGAATGATTTTTTTACCATTTTGTAGCTCCTATTTTACACTTTAACCCTGTATTAATAACTCAAAATCGATTTTTGTGACGAGTGACTGGTTTTACTCGTCAAGCAATGCTGTACATTTTACCATCATTAGAAAGTAGTTAAAACATATTTTATTGCAATATCTATTAATACTGTACAAATATAATGCGTTTTCTAATATAACTTGCATTGATCAATTTACATGCACATGCTTAAGGTTTACTTTTTCACAGATCAAAAAGAAATCGATCTGCACTTGTAAAAAGTAGTAATCAATAATAGTTCATGGGGTTGGAGACAGGGGGTCTGACAAAGGGTCTGAACCAAGGCATCGGCTAGAGCCCAGTCTGGTCCAGAAAAAAAATTCTTGGGTTCAGGAGGGGAGTCTTTATGGCTTAGTATGGCCCAAAGTTGTGCTTTTAGACAACAATATTAGGGATTGGCAATCAAAATAATGTAATGGTATAAGCAGATTAGTATTTGTGGTCCACAACCTCTTTGTGATGGGAGGTTCTGGCCTGTCTGGTTTGGAAATTTTTTACCCTGACCCCTCACTGGTGCCACCAGTGAGAGGGGCACCAATTAAGTTTGTTGAATTTAAAGTATTAATTTGCCCATCCAAAGTTAAATATTGTGATCAAAAGTACAATTTTCACCAGAGGTGCCTCTTTGTTTGAGACCCCTGTTGAACATATTCTGGAGCTATCACTGTCTTTCCTCCATGATTGTATGCTATAATTTGCAGTTCTTCCTCCTGCACTCAAGATTTTCAACCTTTTGTGTCTTCTTTTTGATGCTATAAGGAGTCATTTTACAAATGGGAATACGTGAACTCATTCCATAATCATACAGTTGTATTTACAGTGAATAACTTGTCTTTAATGGGTTCTACATAAAATTTTCTATGATTTTACAAAAATATCCCCACAAAAAGACATATACAAAAATAAAAATGTGGTTACAGAATTATATATACTTTTTAACAAGCAGTGATAGTTTTTAAAAATTACTTTTTCAAGATTTTAATCTTTAACTTTATTATAAATATTGTTCAAAAATAGTTATCGGATAGGCTTAATTTTAATATAATGATTATTTTTCACTGAATTTTACAGATGTAACTAAATAATGTAATTATTGTCTACACTTTTACAGATGCAAATATAACCTTTACAGTCCAGAAACTATTGTTTGAAATGCAGTTGTATTTTCCTATACACACTATAATACTGTAAATAAACCACAAATAAGTTAATTTATAGGGATTATTTGAATTTGAAAAATTGTGTTAATCTGTTCAACAAAGTATTAGTACTGTAAATATTTACAAAACGTCTTACAGAAATCATGAATTAATAATGAACATGAATGGATATCATGAATGTATTTTATGTGAAAGAAGAATAATTTGAATGAATGACAATATGAATGTTTGATTTAAAGATGTATTGTCCCTTGCAAAATACCAAAAAAAATAATAAACATTTTTTAAATTAACTTGCCAATTTTGAAGTATTTAAAAAATGTTACCTATCATTTTACAATGAAAAATGATAGAAACACTTCCAGTCACTGGAAGTGTTTTATTATCTTTATTAATATTATAATTATCCATTTTAAAAGTCAGGGTGCACTTTTTTTAAAATTAAATAATTTCTATGTTTAAATAATAATTTGTACGTTACTGCAAAATGAGTAAGGTAATTTCAAAATTACTTTTTATGATTTTTTTGTCGTTTCCAGGGGACAACATCTTTAAATTAACTACAGTAACTGGAGACTGAAAATACAGCTCTGGTAAAAAAGGTTATAGATCAAGGCTGTAATTCAAATCAATGTTAGAAAATCTACTCTTGGAAATGAAGTTTTTTAAATGTATTTCAAGGCATAAACTCAAGCAGCTTAGCAAGCTCTGCCTTAGCCCTGCAAGAGGGCCAAGCCCTGCCAAATTCCTAGTGTCGGTAATAGGTTTATCTCAAGGCAATTATAAAAAATTACATCTGCTTCAAAAAGATTTATCGTCGTCTCACCACAGCGATTACATTAAAATCATGTTCTCTTCATCAACTAATAATCATTATAGTCATCATCAGCATCATATTATAAACCATTATAAATTTATTTTCATTTAAATTAATTTAAAAAAAAAATCAGATATGATAATCCATAATGTTTCATCTATGTTAAAAACACATCAAAATCAACATACTTAAGAGCTAAAGCATTTATGGCGTTATTTACCAAGAGAATAATAAAAAAAAATATTTTGTTTGTTTTTGAAGACTACAATACTATTGGCATGATGAATTGTGCTGCAGATAAGGAGACATCATTCATATATGATACATAATTATCAAAATATAAAACAAGAAAATTTATAAATCATAGCAAAATAATCTTAAGTAATAACTTATACCATTGCAAAGACTGTAAGTACTTGGTTTTGGAAATAAGCACAAACTATACATATAAAAACGGATCCTCGAAAAGATTTCTATTGTTTCACTTTACACTAAAAATCACACTTAAATTATTCTTATACACATAATTTTGATATATGGATATATGCAATCATAGATATATGGACGCAGTGGCGGCTGGGGGGGGGGGCCTTGACCTGTCCGGTGGGGGCTTAAGCCCCCCTGACCCCCCTGGCACCGCCACTGTATGGACGATAACAATGTTTGCACTCACCAGGTTATTAAGTGTAAGAAAACAAACACAAAGATGCTAAATAATGCAATAAAATGACTTTATAAACAGGTAGTACAGAGATCATGGACAACATTTTTATTTGAAGTAGCAGGCACATCCTTGCTAATTCTACACTACGCTGTCGTAAATTTTGTTTTTGGGGTAAAGGGGCTTAGGGCCTATGGATATTATGGAAACCAGAGATTAGTGCTGGTCACTGAAAAAAAAACAGGCTTAGCTTGTCAAGTGAGTGATTGGTTGATTAACTGATAATGGTCTACTGCATAATCAACTGATTGACTGAAAATTGACTGACTGATTGATTGTCAGCTGATTGATTGATTTGTCAACTGATTAACTGATTGATTGACAGGATGGCTGACTATCAGTCAGGTAATTTAATAAATTACACTTATTATAATTATTACTTTTAAAGTGAGGTTTATATCTGATGAACAAATATGATTACTGGCTCTTTTAAAATTTTACCTTTTTCTGCCAATATCCAGATTTTTGGCAGTTAAATTACTGACTGATTTCAATAACAATAACTAAACTTAATTGTTGAATTAACTATTTTGTCTATATAACATACTTTACATTTTAATAAATGCTATTACTGTACATTATATATCTGTATTTTTATAAACTTCTAATGATATTGCATTTATATAGTAACACCTAGACTGTGGATACTATGGGTTGTACTTGGTTAATAAATCCATCTTATCAGGTGGTGGCTCCTCTAAGAAGTATGTTGTCATCTCGCCTTTACCTTTGACTTTCACCTTTCCCCTACATTCAAGCTTGTAACCTTTAGTGCTTAGAATGTCCTTCATATCTTGCGTAACTTGTATCTTTTGTGTGATGTTTGTGCTTTCCATACGGCTGGATACATTTACTGTGTTTCCCCAGATATCATACTGCGGCTTGCGGGCTCCAATAACACCAGCAACAACTGGACCCACATTCAGACCTAAAATTTAGGAAATTATAATTTTAATTTATATGAAGAATCATAATAATAATGGTAATTACTATGTTTTATTAAGTATTACAATATATATCAAAATATATAAAATTAATTTTAAACAATAAGGATAATTTTACAAGCATTAACATATCTAAAGGGGCGTGGGGGAGGGTGCATCTGTAAAGCAAGGAAAGTTTGTTCCCCATGTATTCCAACTAAAAAAAGCAAGCAGAGTATATACAACATTGCTCTCAAGTCACCCCATCCCCAAAGTAGTGCTCACATATTCTAATTATGTCCTCCCACCAGCCTCTCCCCCATGTCAATACTGTAGATACAAGAACTGAAATTTAAATAATAATACTGTAATGTTATTTTGTGTAGCACACATAGATGAAGGTAGGACCGAGTGAATAAGTAGAAGATATGCTATTATACAAGTTGCAAGACATTACTAAAAATTATGAAGATTAATCCAGGTTTGATTTATTGCAAATAGGAATTTGAATAATGTTTACGTTTACAACAGATGAATCAACTTCAGTACTTAGTTGAGATATCATTTCAGGATCAGACTTGCCTGTGCATATAAATGTCCTTGGAAGATTGCATTAACAAACCATATCAAAACCATAACTATTAACTGGAATCGGTTCAAGAAATTGTTTTAGTCTTTCACACTGACTTTCTACTACGAATGTCATAATGCAAGCCTTCGGATACTTAGGAAATTTCAGTAATTTCCTTAAACTCACTGTAATTTGAGTAACACTATTACTAGTGATTGGTGACCCACTTTGCAATGCTCGGATCTTCACTACTATACTAAGCAAACTTGTTGAATATCTTACCACCAAGGTCATTTTTAATAGAAATTTTAATTCCAGAACTCCTTTCAAAAGTAAACTAATTTTGACTAGATAATTTTTGATAAATTTATCATTGTATATAATTGTGTTATTTTCCATAGACATTTGTACAATGAACAGGGAATAATGGTCTTCCATTTCTATAGTGCATAATACAGTGTAGTGTCTCTACGCACTCTCAAACCCAGTGTCAAGACAAAAGAAAGAAAAAAACAAAAACAAAGAAAGATTAGAATTGTGAAAGAAGATGAGATTTAAGTGTAAATTTAAAAAGGGCCAAAGATGCAGATGACCTTATGAAATTGGGTAAGTCGTTCCATGACAATGAGAAGAGAACTTAATATATAATATTAAGATAAAATAATTAAGGTGTTGCCTCACCTATTCTCATCTTGAAGTTATTAAAGGAGTGTTCGTTGACAAACTTGAGTTGGCTCATGACACGAAATGCAAAATCAGCAAGGTCAACAACATGAGCATGACCTTTCATGTCAACCGTTTCTTTTGTCAGACCAGACGCTGCCATGTATATACTGCCTATCGTTTTGATTTTCTCCACACGCCAAAAGCTCTCCTCTCCACTGATCTGTTTGAATAAAAAGTAATTTTAAAAAGTTATCAAGTTTTATGTCAATCATGCTTATAAGCTCCTGCTTAAATTTCTCAATTAAATATTATTTATATTTTCACTTTTTAAAATTTGTTTATTAAAGTACCTAAAAAATTATTTTATTACAAAACTTAATTTATATATTTATATGTACAGTATTCTCTCATGTTTTATTTGTCTGTATAATGTTAATTGGTCTAATCAAACATAAATAAAATTTACAATTAAAATAAAATCACACACAAGTTGGTTAAATAAAAAAGCCAGACAATATTAATTAATCTAAAATCTAAAGTTCCCGAAGGGTCCTCAAAATGTTTTCCTTTTTTTTCAGATTCCACTGGAAATTGTACCAGAAGGTTATATGGCTAACCTACATCAATTTATAGTCACAAATTGTTACACTGATGTGGCTTGAACTCAATTTAACTCAGCTCAATTGAACAGAACATTTTATAAATTATCATCGGTTTATATTTCATTTATTTATCTAATACTGTATCTTCTTTTTTCAAGCTTTTTAATCAAGGAATATATAATATCATGTATGCAGTTTTTTTTTGTACCTCATCAAAATCAGCAATAATCTCATTAAGTAGTCGCAAGCATTCAACGCCCTCGTTATTAGCTTCAAGTTCAACATAGAAATCTGAGAAGTTTACGATGGAGGCAAACATGACGCTAACATGTTCGCAATCTCGATAATACAGGTCCATGTCGTTAGCATCATTCTTCAAGAAATGTTCCGCGACAAAGGATGGCAAGATATTATGTAAGAGACGTTTATTATAAGCTTGCAATTTTTCTGTTTCTTCCTTTTCTTCTGTTGCCTGTATAGAGAATTTGAAATCTTGTTTTAATATACTAGGAAAAATTATATTCGAATTTAATGGCTTTTGTATTTTTTTCATTACTGTACTAGCATCCAAAAGTAATGTGTGTATGTATTATACATGTAATTTCATGTAATTATTTTGTCCTAACCTCAAGTTTCCACAGGAAATCCAGTTTGGATGTGGACTCGACCTGCCTAGCATGGACAACCAAGCCAATGACGAACACGATTAATATCACAGGCGTCATGATTTTGGAATCCAACTCTGAAGTGTCTTCAGATCTATAGAATGACCAATAAAAGTTAGAATATAGTCACTTTAGTAATTTCATATCAACTGCATTATTTTTTGTATTTAGAATGAATAAAACACATGTTAGAAAATAAAAAATTTATCACATAACATCATTCAGAATACAATTAATTGAATTGAATAAATATTTTTATTATATTAATCAAAGTATCAATTAAAATTAATTGTTAGATAATTTGTTTTTGTGTGCTATAAATATGAATTATACACTTTTAGATATGGCAATATCAATATTACTAGTACAATTATTATCATTACTTACTATTTATAACTAAATGTTCTTTAATTCATAGATTTTTGTCAGCTTGCTTTTATTTGTATGACCCCTTCAACTCTAACATTTAAACTTGCAGTACAAATTTATCTTTCTAAAGAGATTTTCTATTGGTGAAATTAAGATGCTCTAATTCTATCTTTGTATCTGTTATACACATGCAACATTCTTGATGTCGGTCGACCTACCCCTCTGCTTCACCCAATATTTGCCGAGCATCAATAGTGGCCTACGGCAATGGTGAATTTGAGAAAGCCCTGCTCGTTGGCATTTACGTATTTGAATTATGGAGCGCATTTTATGACAGATCTAGCTGTCAACTTGAAATGATAGTACTCTCAACCAACCCAAGGGCTTGCTTGTTCCAATTATTTATTTACCATCTTTTCAATGGATAATACATGTAGAATGATACATCAATTCTACCCTTCACCGATTAAAAAATATATACGCTTAAAATAAGTATACATTTAGTTGCGTGATGATGTCCTTTTAAAAAGTACAAATTATTCCTTGTAATAAATTATATTTATGTTCAGAAATACGTCAACCCTTTTTTAGATATTTGTTCTGTAATAAGCGCTATGCAAGTACAGAGCCATTTACCATTTAGCTATGACTATTATATATTTACATATACAGTGGCAGATTTTAAGTTAAAATTTTAACATCATTCACTGAAAAGATTTGACCATGGTATTGGTGGTGTTAAACGTGCCATATATGGACATGATGATGATAATAACATTTAGTATAGTTATTATACAATAACTTAGATTAACATTATTAGTGTGGACAGAGCATAACGCTCCACACTATCAAATTTTCTTTGACGGAAAACTGTTGTATGTCCATATAGAGTCATGATGTGCCTACAGTATATATGGTCATGATGTGATGTGATCATGACCATATTTAGGCATGTCACATGTTTTTGTCAAATGAAATTTGATAGTATGGACAGGGCCTTAAGCCATGTATGTATGCTTCTTTTCACCGAGTACTGTACAGGTACATGGTGATGCGATGGGAATTATTTGGAATGAAATTGGACTGGTATTAATTTAGCATTTGAACTAGGAATCTTTATTCTAAAATTGGAGGTTGGACAATATGTATGTCTTGATATGTATTCAAAAACCAGAGGTAATAATTAGGCCTTAGATGATATAGTATTACAAAAGTTTTCACAATGTGTTAATAATAATCTTCTTAGGTGAGTTAGTTAATAGGCAGATATACTTGTTAAAATTGAAAGAAATACAAAAATATATTTTAAAAATGTTAAATAAGTAAATACATATATGTATATATATATATATATATATATATATATATACATATATGTATATATATATACATA